TTATAAAAGGGGGTCCATGCATAAAATTACAGAGGTAGAGAGAATTCAAAGATTTAATAATTTTCACAATGAAATTTAACTAATTTGGGCAAAGTAAATGCTTCTTCTTGGGCCTTTTCTTACGTACTTTTTATGGTTGCCGTAAGTTAAGACACTGATTAAAATCTTTTAAGAATTATCCGATATTTTTATCGCATAAACATTTTTTCTATACCATATTCAGAAATTTAACAAACAATGAAAAATAACATAAAATCTTGAGTTCTGAGCATTTTCATCTTATGTAACAAAACGAACGTGATGAAGAATTAAATGTTAACGAAAAAAAAAATAAATAAAAAAACAGGAATAGGAGTAACATGAGTAAATTTGTATACCTGTTGTTTCGAAGATTTAATAGAACATTCATCATCAACAAAATGTCTCACGTTACGCTTACTCATGTTGTTTATTATTAGCTGCCTAACATTTCTACCCTAGTTAAACTGCAGTTATAATATCCCATCTTCATAACACCGTACATTTTAGCTTATAATTATTGAAAGTAATTTTTTTGTATAGTTTTCAGTTTTATTTATTAAAAACAAAAGCATTTCAAAAACATAAATAAACGATTTCACAGCAAAATTTTAAGTAATATTTTCTCAGTATGGTCGTTTATATTATTACTTAACAATTAATAGGTGTAATAAATAGTTATCTGTCTGTTCGAGAACTCTGCAGTTCGAGTCAGTTTCCCATGATGAGGAAAGCACTTATAAATTACGTATAATATCCTCGTTACCACGTCTAAGCCATGAATCTGCATTTACTGTTATTTTCATTAAGTGCATTTTCTAAACCGATTTACAAAACGCTTTAAAATCTCTAAAATAAGCAGGTGTGTATTCCTTACGGTGCGTGTAAAATAACTGTTGAATTCAAATCCTGGCTTAAATTTAAAAATATGTTTTCAAATAAAATGTGTTTTCTAAAACGCGGAATGTTTTGAAGAATTATGCTTTCTTTAGTAACGACAATTTACTCCCAAAATTAAACAGGGTGTCCTACGATTACGAAATTTGCTCAAAGCAGACCGTAAGAAAATCATACAAGTATTTCCCTTCGCAATTTATATAAAAATAACACTTGCAGTTTTCGTATGTTGGAACCCAATCAATATTTTTTAGGTAGTAGGATTTAAAAATTAAAAGAGAAAAATAAAGAATGAAGAAGCTATGTATCCTTACCAAATGAAATTTCACAGCGCTTGCTTCGAGAAAACGCATTTAAAGATGTGAAAAATCATGAAATGGTTAAAGAATTCAAGTTATGACTTTTGGATAACAATTTGTTTACATATATTTCTTAACTTGGCTCAGGGCAAAATATCGAGAAAATAAGCTGGATATGCATTCGTGAAGCAGCAAAACGCATGAGCGGAAAGCACCAAAAATGTATGTTTATGATTTTGGCATGGTGCCGACAATACAGACAACTGCAATCATATTTTCATCTCTTTCTCTACACTGTTATGGTTTCATTTCGCTTTTCTTTGTTTTGTAGCCTTAGTTCAGCTATCGTTTCCTTTCGATCAGTTCGCTCATAATTCACATTCTTTTTGAAAAACCACTGGTTTAGATCATGTCTAAACAAAGCTGTTTCCTGCCCACGCGAAGTAAGAACTTTTGTTTTATCTGCCAAATTCTAGCAGTATACTGCTTATAAATGTAACAAGAGAGACTTTTAAAAAGAGTGTAGGGTTTATATTTATTTTAAAAAGGGTTTAGGTTTATATTTATTTTAACTAACATTTATTTATTTAAGTTTAAACTATCTTTCCTGTCAAGCCTTACTTTTCCCCTGGAATTGCCAATGCATGCCAGAGTATGTAAATTTTTTAGTAGAACGCGCAAGGATTCAAATTATCAGCGGAAGTAATCTGAGTTAAATAGAAGGAAACGAGTTGAAGGAACGAGTTGCGGTGTGCTTTCTTACTTCACTAGCGTGGAGATGGCTAGTTAGAAATTGAAGAACCACGCGTTTCGGCCTGTGTGCTCGCCTCGGCAGTTTAGTTTGTTAATTTTCAACGTAATATTCAGATTCAGTTTGCTGAACTATCAGAGGTATTTTAGAACGCGGTGAGGTTAGTTACGTTTAGAGAGCCTCGTAGTTAGTCACTTGTTACTATTCTTTTCTTAGTTTCTTATTTTTATTTTACCCCCGGGTCGGCGTAGTTTGTGAGCGTCAAGCGCACGCATTTGTAATTTCTAAAGTTGAATAAAAAGGGATTTAAACCCTTCTCAAGACTTTGGTCTACTTCCAGTTCTTAGCAGTCACCACTATTGTTGCGTGCAGGTTGGAAGCGCGCAACGTTACATTGGCGCCCGAACACTTGTCGAACTGAAATGGCCGAAAATTGGATGGAAGTTTGCTGGACAACAAAGAGAATGGCAAGCCAATTGGAAGGATTTGGATACCTGGTCCAGACGATGAGAGCGTCAATTCAAGCCAAACGTCAATTTCGACGGCAAAAAATTCGGTGGCGAATATTTTCTAGAAGGCCTAGAAATCACTTTCCAGCTCTACCCTGTGCCTGAAAGACAAAAAGTTGCCATCGCCACATCTGCACTAAGAGGACAGGCCGCGCTATGGTGGAAAAATATAGGCAAATTTTTATTAGGGGAATTCGGAGGCCAGACATATACATTTGAAAATTTCAAAAAATCGTTATTAAAGGCCTTCCCCATAGTGAAAGATCGAGCAAGGCTAGAAGCCGAACTGTATAGTTTTTATCAACGGAATATAGAAGAGTTGACGGACTTTATTCTGCGAAAAATTAAGCTGATGGATATGCTGTATGGGAAGAAGCCCTACGGGGAGATTATTGAAATAATCTTACCAAGATTGTTACCTGCTGTTCAAGACTATTTCGAAATTAGAAACCCAAGCTCATTGCAGGAGCTCTTCGAATTGGCGGTCAAGTTTCAAAATCGCAGAATAGCGGAAAAAGCTAGAGGGGCATCGTATTCTCAAAGTATCCGAAGGTAATCTTCAAATGAGCAGACCAGAAATGCAAACCGCTCGTATGGGGAAAAGAGCTATCAAGCTAACTCATCGAAGGTCGAAGGTCAAGGCCCAAAAAGGAAATTCGAAAACAACCGTCCGCGTACCCAGAAGGCAGAAGTTGAAACGAAAGCTTTAAACGAGTAGAGGGGCCTGTGAAAGCGAGGGTCCAGACCCCGGAAGTTTTAAAAAAAACCTTCAAGAAGACACTTAAATACGGTCATCGTAAAGAACTCCCAGTTACGAATTATACAAGTCCTGGTTGGCGATGTACCAGTAGAAGCCCTCATCGATACAGGAGCAGAAGGTAATTTCATGAGTGATATTTCTTTTTAAGAAGAACTTTAATAGGTTTCGATTATTTAAAAATAAAAACACAGAAATCATAGCAGCACCAGGACAAGCTTGTCAATGTATCGGAAAACTATCTTTAAAGATACAAGTTCAGAATGAAAGCCTTAAATTATTTTTTCAGTAAAACATTTACCAAGTCCACTTATTTTAGGTATGGAGTTTTTAAAAGCCGCGAAGGCCAAACTGAATTTTCAGGACAGTTCTATTGTGCTGGAGATGGACCGGAGGGTGGTGGAACCAGTGGAACAACCGCAAGTTGACCTTAGCCATTTGAATGACCATGAAAGTCAAGCCATCCAGAAAGTGGTGAGTACTTTTTCAAACTTGTTTTCAGAACGGCCTGGTAGCTGTCAAATAGTTACGCATAAGATACAGTTAACTGCCGACAAACCCTGTAGGACTAAACCTTATCGCTATGATAAACAAAAAGAGCTAATCATAGAAGAACATATTCAGGAAATGTTAAAGAACAAAATAATAACGCCCATAAATAGTGAGTACGCGAGTCCACTCGTACTATGTAGGAAATAGAACGAGTTTCCTCCTTCGGATAAAAGGGCTTGGAGGTTTGCTATCGATTACATAACACTGAATAGTATTACTAAATTCCCAGTTTACCCTTTGCCGGTTATAGAAGAAATTATTAGAAAGATTAAATCTACAAGATACATGACTACGTTGGACTTAACGTCTGGCTACTATCAAATAGCTATGAGACCCGAAGACATACATAAAACCGCGTTTTAACAAAATCGGGCACTTATGCATTTTTACGCATGCCCTTTGGGTTGTGTGGGGCCCCATCAACATTTCAGAGAGCTATGGACATTGTTCTAAAGCTTGTCCTAGGAAAATCAACTTTAATCTATCTAGATGATATAATTATATAACGATTAGTACGTTGGAACAAACATATTAAAGATCTAGAAAAAAGGTTTTAAATTATTATAAAAGAGGCCGGTCTTACAATTAACGCCTCAAAATGCAAGTTCGCAACTAAAGAACTTAAATATCTGGGTTATAAAATTTCGCAAAAGGGTATAGAAACGCAAGATTCAAAAATAAAAGCCATCAAGAATTTCCCACCGCCCAACGCCGCCAAGAAACTTTCTTCTTTCCTTGCGTTATGTTCTTACTTTGGGTTTCGGCTTCCCTGTTCCGAGTAACTAAATCTCACTACAGGTCGACTCTGCCTTCGGGCACGTCGTGGAGGTGCCCGAAGGCCGAATCATTAATTCGGCTAGGGGAACAATGTATTGCAAGAGAGGTATTTTCCTATGTTTGGTTTCTTGAAACAATATGTGTGCATTCACAACAGCTGTCATCAAAAGTTTATAAAATACTTTTTTCCACCATTTTGTAGATCTTCTGTCAAAATCATATAGGCATATCTTTTGATCAGACAAATCTACTCCTCCCATAAATCTGTTATAGTCGGCAATAGCGGTTTAGGACAATTTGTCATTACTTTTTCTCCATCTTTCTGCTTGCGTTTTACTTGTATGACATCAGGTCCGTGGCAATTACTCAGAATCAGAACTTCCTTTGAATCTTGCCATCTTGCTGCAAGAGTTCCTCTTCTATTCTGGAGAAATTCTAAATCAACCTTTTTGAAGTTTTTCGTCAGAGAATTTTGGCATGTCTTTTCTACGAGAAATACAAGTACCAACAGAAGGAAAGGATATGTTATCCAATAAGTTTACACTTGTAAAAAATCTATCAAATGTAAGTGTAACATCTGGGTTACGTATTGTTGAGGAGGAAAGTTTTAGAACAACTCTTTCTCCAAGTATTGTACCCTCATGATCTGTATTATCCATGCCTTTGCCAGAATATATATTGAAGTCATAGGTGTAGCCCGTAGCAGCATCACATCTCTCCCACACTTTGATTCCCCGTTTTATTGGCTTTAGGGGTAAATACTGCTTTAGGCTAGAACGACCTTTGAATTTAGCCATGGATTCATCGATGCTTTCAAAGGGACTATCTTCGCGAGCTTGCATAAATGTCCTTTTGAAACATGCCACCACTTCATCCATATAATATGTCTTTGGAGCATTCGCATCTTTTTCTGGATCATTGAAGTACATTTTTGCAAAGAGCAATAGGCATCTGTTACGGGAAATCGCATTTTTGATAGCTTCGTTTCCCAATGAAGAATTGCTGGACCAATAATCTGAAAAGTTCGGTACTTGATTATACGACATGACAAGCATAACTCCCAACACAAGCATAATTTATGAAGGGTCTGTGTCAGGAATATCTACTTTTTTTCATGTCTCAGTATTTCAAGGCGCTGGTAGTGTACATTGAGAAATAAAAATAAGAAGACTTCGTGGAAATACACATGAGAAACATTCTAATTCATTAGAGGATCTGTTGATTTTGGCCAGTATTGCAGTTGGACGGCCTTTAGATACATGGAGCCGTGGCTCAAAATTTGGACCAACATTTGACCAAATGACAGGATCAGTAGGTTTTGAAATAGTTTTTTTTATGTTATTTTTTGCCTTGCACTTATATTTTGATACTGCTCCGCTTCATCGGGTGAGAAATCATCAGAGTCCGAGTCAACGGAGGGTTCTGATGAATGCTCAAGACATGACATGACAGCTTTCGTTTCGGTGCCCTTGATGTGTGTCCTGAATTTTCTCTCATTCTTCACAGCTATCACTGTCTGAGGAACTAGGGACATATTCCTTGTCTATATCTGAATCGTCCAATTTCATCACTTGAATCCGGTCATTCAATAATTTTAATTATTTCTTCCTTTATCAATCCCTTCCTGCGATTCATGATATTGCTATGCCTAAAAATACAGAAATGACCACTTTGAGAATGAGGCATAGATATATTTCAAATAACCACTGGGACAATAATGTCCCAATAAAACAGACCATTGGGACATATATGTCCCATAATATTATTTTTTTTCAAAATCTACAATGAAAATTCACTTACTTCAAATAAACTGCTTGATATGGCAAAATAGACGAAAATCACATACACGAAAAAACGCACGTGTGTCCACTCATGTATCTTCGCCTAAAATGGCTGCCAGAATGTCCAAACTTTCCCGCTTGTCAAAACTGTTACGATAAAACAAAGAGCTCACAGGGCACTAGTATCATCTATCGAGAAAAAATTACACTAAAAGGTAGATGTAATCACAGGAAACCAGTGGGACACTCGCGGCAATAAATTTTACGCTTGTTTTTCCCATTGGGCGATTTGGAAACATTTGCGGGACATATATGTCCCGGTGGGGCCGAAAGGGTTAAAAAGGGTACGCGAGGCGGTATATTTCCCGCAATTATACAAAGTAGTAACTGCGTATGTCAGGTCCTGCAATCAATGTCAGTTAATAAATGATATTAATTACAGCCCGGCCGGGTACTTAAATAGCATTCGCGCTACATTTCCGAATGAAATTTTAGGCATAGATCTTCTTGGTCGTTTCCCCCAGAGTGAGTTAAATAAAAATCGTTTTCTTTTAGTAATTGTAGATCATCATTTTCAAAATTGACAGAAATTTGTTCCACTTAAACGCGCGTAGCCAAAACAGTCGCAGATCATTCTACACAGATACATTTTAAAATACGGTGCACCGATAAAAGTCATTAGCGATAAACGGTAAACAAATTCCATTAGTCAAATATTTGAAAACATTATGCACTGGACTTGGCATACGCCATATCAAAATCGTTCCGTATAGACCACAGGCAAACATCGCAGAAAGAGTTAATTCGAAAAAACTCTTCTTTCTTATTGTAAAATAATTCGAAGTTATGGTTAGCACACATCACAAGCGCTGGGATGGCTACATAAATGAGTTAGCTTATGGCTTTAAGAACGGAAAATCACGATACTACGGGAAAAACTCCAGCAGAATTATTTTTAGGACGGAAAGTTAATTACGCCAATTATATAAATTATTCTTTGTGTAACAAAGAGAGCAAGAATTTAAACAAGAAAGATGTACAGAAACACTTATTGACCAGGCGGTTAAAAGCTCGGATACGGCAAGAAATAGACAGAAACTTATACTATGATCGGAAAACGCCGTGAAGCAGATTTTAAAGTTGGGGATAAAGTGTTTGAAGCGTAACTTTTCTTTATCAAATGCCCCAGACAATTTTACTGCAAAAGTTGGCTCCGAAAATTTGAAGGCCCCCTATGTAATTCAGGAAAGCAAGGGAGTCGTATTGTACCTTAAAAACGAGAGAGGGGAAATCTGTAAAGCAAGTCCCGACCAGGTGAAAAAATATTATAATCAAAATGATTTGAAATCCTTAAAAGTTTCTTGCAGGACTCAAGCGTAAAAGAAGTAGAAGGTCCAGAAGTAACGTCACCCGTTCCACCATCCAAGAAGCAGAGAACTGAAGAGAAACCTAACTCTTCTACAACCCATGCGACGGTACCGAAAAGAAGAAATGAAAACTTTCAGACTCCAGCATTTAAGAAAAACAAGAAAGCAAAGCCGCCGTGTAAAGAAACTTTGGTAAAGAGGAAAACGCCACTTACAACGTATCGCAGTAGAAATTCTACATCGAGGAGAACGCTTCCAGGGCCAGAGAGTCAGGTGCAAACAAGGCCACCGTTCCCCAGAACGTAAAGACAGCAGGAGGAACGAAAAGACAACCACCAACAGAAGAAATTCAAGAATCATTCCAGACCGGAGGACGCCAAGACCAGCCGTCCAGGGTAAAAACGGAAAAGACAGCAACCCGACGACTACCAATCCAGGAGGCCAGCATGCAGAGGGCGAAAAAAATAAAGTAACGAGGACGACACTCGGAGGACACTAAGGAGTAGACTGACGTCGATGAAACCTATAACGTGGGAGCAGTTCTGCCAGAAAAGGATGTCAGAGTTCCAATCATCGAAAACTCAAAGATAAGTTAAAATCTTCTATAAATTTTTTTTTCTTTTGTTCCGAAATGTTATGCGTAAATACGAAGTTCTATGTTTTGACGGAAGTCAATGTGTTCTCGGTTGAGACTTAGTTTTGTTTTACTTTATTTAGCTAAGGCAAAAGCATAAAAGCATTATTTTCTTTAAGTAGTATAAAAGTCTAAGAACAAGCAGTTTCTGTTGGTCGAAAGACTAATTTTGTTATGTTAAAGCCAAAATTTGGCCGATGGCCGAAGTAAAAATAACTTCGTATTCTTGTATTAATGGAAGAACTTTAGTTTCAGTGCCGCCAGCTTAGCGAAGAATGAGTAAAGTAAAAATTTATTTTTCTCTTATTCATTTTATGGTAAATTGTAAAAATCATATGTATTAGAATTTTGTAAATATACGTAAATACTTGAAAGTTATGTAAAAGTAGAATTTAGTCTAGAAGCATAAAATTTTAGATGCTAAAAGTAAATGCTCAAAAGCAATGAATTCAAATTTAAGTATTAAACTGTAGATAAAATCATGCTTTAGAGCGAAAGCTTCCATGTCTAAAGATGAATGAGGGGGAAGTTAGAATGTATGTGTTTTGTAGGCTTCTCCACCTACACTTGAATTTTAAGAATGTTAATCCTAGCTCATCGAGTTGTAGAATGTCGAGTAAGGTGTGTCTATTTGGTCGTTGAATTCTAACAAATCATTGTGGTTAGGGGAAGTGTTGCAATACTAAAACACGAATATTCCCGTTTGACACCACACATGGTGGAAAGCCAGGATAAAGTTAAATTCATGTTTGAATACTTCAATGAATGTGAATTAAGCAGTAATTACGGAAAATAAATCGTTCAAAAACAAAAACTTATTCAGTGTCAAGAAAGTGTAAATTATAATGTATTTAGAAAGATACTGATACATATTCCTTCCAGATGCTGGAAGGAAGAGAACAGATTGATTGCTGAAGTCCAGGAAAGGTTGCTGTAAGAAGAGAGAATTAAAATAAGTATCTACAGAAATTTATTCTACCTTTTGTGAGATAAGATTTTTTCTGTGTAAACGAGACTCTTAAAATTTAGTTCAGAATTGTAGAAACTTTTCGACAGGTCATTTCTAGGACCTGCTTCCAAGTTTACCAAATTCTGGCAGCGGCAAATGTAGGGTTTATATTTATTTTAACTAACATTTATTTTAAGTTTAAACTATCTTTCCTGTCAAGCCTTACTTTCCCCTGGAATTGCCAATGCCAGAGTATGTAAATTTTATTAGAACGCGCAAGGATTCAAATTATCAGCGGAAGTAATCTGAGTTAAATAGAGGAAACGAGTTCGAAGGTGTGCTTTCTTACTTCACTAGCGTGGAGGTGGCTAGTTAGAAATTGAAGAACCACGCGTTTTGGCCTGTGTGCTCGCCTCGGCAGTTTGTTAATCTTTCAAAGTAATATTCAGAAGTTTGCTGAACTATCAGAGGTATTTTAGAACGCGGTGAGGTTAGTTACGTTTAGAGAGCCTCGTAGTTAGTTACTTGTTACTATTCTTTTCTTAGTTTCTTATTTTTATTTTACCGCCGGGTCGGCGTAGTTTGTGAGCATCAAGAGCACGCATTTGTAATTTCTAAAGTTGAATAAAAAGGGATTTAAACCCTTCTCAAGACTTTGGTCTACTTCCAGTTCTTAGCAGTCACCACTATTGTTGCGTGCAGGTTGGAAGCGCAACGTTACAAGAGAATGGTAGAAAAACATAAAAAAGAGAAACTTTACTTGCAAAAATAAAAATCATAGCCTCAACAGTATAGCCTGTACCTTCAAATTCTAAGTCAGGCGCCCCATCTAATTGGATGGAAGTGCGCCTTTCTTCGATACCAACATACAATAACTGTCTTCGATACAATATGTGATGGTAGTGAAAAAAAAACCCGAAAGAAATAAAAACAATTTTATGAGGTCCGCAAGACAGCCATGAGGAGTTCATGATTATAAATATCTTATAGTTATGTAATATCTCACTCATAACTAAATTTAAATTCTTTGTGAAAGGAAGAAGTGTTTAGAAAATGCAATTCTACGGACAGAAAGTTTTGCAAAAGATTTTGCCCTTAAGGTGAGTAAAATTCTATTTATCAAGAGTATTTCACAGAAAAACCGTTTAAAATTTTGCTTCTGAAAAGTTTAATAATTCTTTGAGTTATTAGGAGTTAG